TACATACAAAAATTTTTTAATCATAGCATAGAAATAAATAACTTAATTAGGAAATTGAAAACAAAAAGTAAAACAAAATTTCTTCTGTAAAAAAAAGCTGTTAATAACTCTGTTTATAATAAGAACTTAAAACTAGTATTTTAGTTTTTATTTATTTATTTAAATTATTTTGTATTTGTGCCTTAAAATTGTAGAGATATAGACAAATATGACACAATTAATTAATAAATCACTTTATATTTTATGTTATTAAAAAATAAAATATCTGTTAAAGATATTAATAATAGATACTAATACTGTTGAGTTTGAATATGCTTTAGCAACTTTTGCTAAAGCTTATATAATAATTAAAAAATATGTAATGCAAACAAATTCTGTTATAATTTTAGGAAAAATAATGAAAAATTCTAATAACAATTATAGACAAGTGTTTTTTATATATGAAAAGCAAAAAAAATATAATAAAAGAAATAATGAATATACTACTAAGTATATTAGATATAAATTTGCCATTGGTATAAATGCATAAATGTACTGATATATATATATATTTTTTTAATATTAAGGTAACCACTTAGGGGTCTCGTATATTTTATTAACTTTGGTTCAAATGCCAGGATGCTATATAGACAGCCTCTGACTTTGTTATATTAATAAGAATATATTCTAATCATATCTGTACCTTTTGAGTACCTAATTTAAGTAGTCTGCCTATTACTAGATTCTACACTAGATGCTATACTTATAACCTACTATTATTTAGATTATTGCATTAAACTATCTAATCAACTTAACATTATTAACAAATATTATCCCCAAAGAAGAATTGCTATATAAGTGCTTTAAGACTTTAAAGTGAATATACACTATCATATAAAAGGTTCTTTATTCTTGTAACAAACCTACTAAAGCAGTCTATGTTTCATATATATATCACCTAGAATTTTAGTAATTTATGTCTTGACTGCAGCCAAGTACTTGCAGCATTTTACCTTTGCTACCATTATCTACTTCTTGCTCTTGCAAAGTTTATTCAAACTCTAGTATTCACTTTATAGACTATTAACAGTACTTTAATGCCAACTGTCAGTGCTTCAAACTTCTAATTTAAATGGTCTGGAAGAGACCAGTGAGTGTTTCCTAGTATTCCAAATGAATTTTTTTCCTATGATATATCCAGCGACCTGGTTGATAAAGTGCTTTTGCCAAATACTTAGTTTTCATTTAGATTGTCTTTGATGTATAGTTCCTCAAATGATAATCTTTTACATAGCACCATCAAAAATCTTTATTACTTCTCTACTTAGGACTTCCCAAGTAGGCTTTTATATCTCCTAATTCTTAGATTAATTTGGCTACTTCACTCGAGATTCATATAACTCATGCGTCATACTATATTTTACAACCTTCTAATACAAGTTGGTAAGACCAAGATTACAGATGCTGACCCGATCAATATATTATATAGTTTGTCATAACATATTTTGCAAATTTAAATTTTATCACCAGTAGAATTTGAACTCTTATTCTGCTGCTTAGAGGTGTAATAACTTCACTAAGTCATCACACCCAATGCATTAATATATATATTAGACTAAGCTATGTCCAAAATATAATCACAATATTTGTTTAAGTGTTACTAAATTTAGTACTTTAGTTATAAACTTGATAATAATGATCTGGGCTTGATAGAAAGGCTCTACAATATAGTTGAAGAGATTACTAAAAATAAATATTGATTCTAGAAGATATTTAGAATAATCTACTACTAATTTGCAAATTTTGATTAGCTCTTGACTGTCTTTTTAGAGCTAAAATTTTTGATTTTCTAATTATACTTTAAACAATATATAAATTTATATTGAAAAAGCTTTAGATTAACAATCTATAAAGATCTATTCATAATTTATTTTTTTTAAAAAAGTAAATAAAATATGAAAATTTATAAAATTATATACTTAAATATTAATAAAACTAATATATTAACCTTTTTTTATTTAAAATATCAGCTAACAAATATTTAAAAACAATATTGCAGTTTTTGTTATCTAGGTAAGAACCAAAAGCCAAAGAATTTCTATATATATTGCTTAATCTAATTAGTAATTACAGTAGTTAGAGATTAAATATTTGTAGAATATCATAATTGCATATTAAAAAAAACTAATGGTCTAGCAGTGGCTAAAAATCTTAAAGCTTTTCAAGATTTAATACCAGAACTTAAAAGCTAAGAATTTTTTTATTTGTGTAAATTATTATAATCAAATTGTAGTTAATGATTACTTTTACTAACAACTTATAGATATTTCTTGTGCTAGTAAAAGATTTTGGCTTGAAGTTAGTTCTAATAATGATGAAATAAATAGTAATAACATATTACACTATTCGACAAAGTTTAAAAAAGTTGCAGAATATATAATTACAAAGTTACAATAGCAAGTAGAAAATAAAAATAGTGTAATATTTGGGCTAAATATACAACTTAATGAATATTGTAACATGATAATTCAGTTAGAAAAGTTATATCAAAAACAGTATAAAAAGTCTTAAAAACTGTATAAAGTATATCAAAAACAGTATAAAGCAAACAAGCAACTAACTGAACAATAGAATTATTATTATAATGATCAGTATAAGCGTTATTAATATTGCACTAATTAAACAAAAAGCATTATATAACAATATCAAGGTTTTATTAGAAATAATAATAAATATTTTCTAAAAAATCTATTAAACATTATGGCTAAGCAAATGTAATCTAGTCATTATAAAATTTATTGAAATTTTAACTAATAATAATTTTGATATAGTTTTTGAAAATATCAAAAACTTTTAAAAAAGTCATAGCTATCAATTTAATATATGGACCTAAATATAAAAAATATTATTAGAGATGTATCTTACTATATTAGCTATTAAATATTTTATCAAACAATCCAAAACTATTGTTAATATTGTCAATTATATTACAAGCTCAAGAAGTTATTAAAGTTTTCAGAATCAGATAAATAAAGTAAAAAAAATTTTACCAGAAGGTCTTTTGTTCTTAACATTTGATAATGAACTAAAAGGTCAAAAAAATTATTTAGACTAATTTAATACAGTTATATTTCATATTATTACTAGTTTTGTTGCTTTTAATATGAATTCTAAAAATTATATTCAATATACTAATATGCTTTGAGCTTTTAGCTTACTTTATAGGTTGTAATATAAAAGTCTTTTCAATGTTATATCTAAAATACAAGAAATTATAGATTAAGAATTGTATACTTATATTTTTAAAATACTTGATTTATTGTGTGAAGAAAACTTATTTGCAACTAATATAATTGATTTACTTGTGTTTAAAATAGGTTCTAGTAGTTGTTGTAATAAAAAATACTTTAATTATAAAAAAATATTGATAAATATAAGCAAGTTTGTTTTAAGTATAAATTTTATCTATCTACGTTAGCAGAAATACCAAAACAATACTGTTATTACTGCTTTTGACTCAGAGCACTAGTGGGTGCTTTGCAGAAAAGAGTAATAACTAACAGTTCAGAGTTTAGCAGATAGTCAATATTTAAAAGGGTAGTTTAGAGTTATAAAAAAATTAAATAGAAAATAAAAAAACAATTACAAAGAACAAGACTTAAGTACTGGGCACTATTGAATGCTAAAATAAGTTAAGAAAAAATAAATACAAACAAAAGAAATAAAAAGAAACAAAAACTAACAAAAAGAAAATAAAAGAGTTTTTTTAAAAAAAATTAATAAACAATTTTATTTATTAATAAACAACTAAAAATTATTACAATTCTTGTTATAAATTGTTCTTTTTAAGAAAAAAGAAAAGAGAGGCTATTTATAATATTTTTAAACTATATAGAATATTTAGAATTATGTAAAATATTATTAAATATCTAACTATTATATAATATATATATAATCATCAGATATAAATTAATTTAATAAGCAAATCATGAGTCATCTAAACAAATATTTTTTTATTTATATATAAATTTTACTATAAGCCTAAATGTGCAGCACTTCTATCTAAAACATTTTTTTACTAAGTAAATCACTTTTGAATTTGTAACAAAAGTTATAGAGCTCATCAAAATGTATATAATAGTGAAAGAACATTAAAATTAGACTGGTAGTTCTTAAGAAATTTTTAAAAAACTTCTTTTTCATATATAAAATTTCTTTAAAAAAAATTAGTTTTTTAAAGATTTTTCAAGAACTATCAGGTCAATTTTAATGTTCTTCCACTATTAGATGTATTTTAATAAGCTTTACAACTTTTGTTACAAACTTAAGAGTAATTTACTTAATAAAAAAAAGTTTTAGATAGAAGTGCTGCACATTTAGGCTTATAGTAAAATTTATATATAAAAAAAATATTTGTTTAGGGTGACTCATGATTTGTCTATTAATTAATAATCTGTGAGTCAACTGAAGAAAATGATCTACAATTATTAAGTAATCAATACAAATTAATTAATGAAAATCTTGATTTATAAATGTGAAGATTTTTTATAATACTATATATATATATTATATCTGAGATCGATGCTTGCATCAAATGACAGCTGACACACCTCAGATATCAATCAATGTATGAGGTGCCTTAGACAATCTGAAGAATGTTAACTGTCATCCAATGCAATCTTAATATAAATTTTAAAGGTGATTAAAAATTACATGTGTTAAACTAGAATTATAAATGACGAATATTTTTTATAATATAAAAATATGTAATATAATGAAGTATTGAATAGAAATGCATGAAAGATGAGGTAATTAAAGTCAAAGTCAAAGTTAATGAATAATAAATAATATAAATTACATAGTAAAAGTAAAATTGTATTTAAGAAAAAATCAAATAAATTAATGAGTATTTTTTTGCTAAAATTAATAACTTGGCTACATTAAATATGAAGTACTCTCAATAAAATTCTAAATATATTTTTGTTACAAATATTTTGTTACAAGTATTTTTATTACAAAAAATGGAATTTGAATTCATTAGCAAAAAAACCTTTTATGAAATTATCAATAATTATATAATCTGCTTACTTAAATGCAAACAAGAAAAAGTGTTAATAAACCTAGAGCTTTACAATCAAATTAAATTAATTTTACAAAATTTTAATAATACTGATACTGATAACAAAAATACAAGAGACTAGGCAAAAAAATGATTTTATCTTAAGGAAATAACTCCTGATGATTTTTAAATAATAATTAAAAAAAACAATAAACCGATCTTATTTGTTGAAAGAATATACAAAGTTCTTTGTAAAACACATGCTGAAGTAGATCAACATAGTGATAAAAAGCAGTTGTGTAAATCTGTTCAAGAAAGATAGAGATGAATTAGGCAAGAAATTGTTAAAAAGTTTGTTAATAATTGCACTATATGTGCTATAAGAAAGCTATCTTTTCATCTATTAGCAGTAAAACTTATTATTGCTGAAATTTTTTATCTCAAATAAAAGTAAGTAAAAATTTTTTTTTTTAACATGACATTAGTTAATTATATTTGCATAAAAATCAATTTAATTTAAAATACATTAATTAATAAATAGACTTAATTAATTTATCATTTGATGCTAATAGCGATTATAAGTACATTTGTCACATTAGAGACTATTTTAACCACTTTTTGTAGGCCAAACTATTAACTTCTAAATGGGTTGTAGAGATTGTAGCATACTTATTTAATTTATTTCATTCTTTAAGTTCAGCTCCAATTATATTACAAAGTGACAATAGCAAGGAATTTTGTGCATCAGTGATTATGGAACTTATAAAAATGTGATTATCTGTGAAAATAATTAATAGATGACCATGTTACCCTCAGTCTTAAGGCTTAGTTGAGTGTGCTAACAGAATCCTTCAGCAAAAACTCAGCAAGTGAAAAGAAGATACAGGATGAATTGATTGGTTATTTGAACTTAGATTTGTCATATCTTCTATAAATAATAGTTATTGCCATTTTTATCAAAAAACTTCATATAAGCTTGTATATAGTAATAAATCTCACAGCAATTTCACAGCAATTGTAAATTAATTGACGAATTGTTTTTAAAGAATATTAGAAATAAAGAAAATATACCTAATACAATAGATATTCAAAGTTCTGATGATGCTGAAAATTTGGATACTGATTATAAAGGTAAATATTAAACTGCAATTATATTTTTTTATTGTAATTATAGTATATTAACTATATAATTTATTAGAAAATAATGATATTCCTAATAATGCTACTACTTAACTTACTGATATTAATGAACATGAAAGTTATGCAGATACATATCTAAATTAAATATTATTTTTATTTTTATTTTTTTTTATTATTATACATAACGTAGTCATATTAATTTTATATATTATTAGAAAGCAATAGCACTTTTAACAGTATTACTACTTAACTTTTCGATATAACAGACATAATTAAAATCTCTTCTAAGCATGAAATTCTTTATCAATCAGCAGGTCAAAATCTTGAAACCTATACTGAAAAATAGTAAATCAAATATCAAAAAGCAAAAAAAGAAAATTAGATTATGAAATTAGTGATCTTGTATAAGTAGCCATTCCAAAGATTGATAGATTTAGTGTTGATTAACCAAATCTTTTATATAAAATACTTGATAAAACTATAAATAACAAATACCAGTTGAGATCCAAATTTGGTATTATTATGTTTTTTATTTTGTTAATGAACTTGAACTATTGGGCATCACTACCTTTTCCGAGCTTGATACTATACTATCAAAAAAAATAATAGTTAGAGAATCAGCACAACTTCAAAATACTGTCCCATCATGCATAATATACAGTTATAAAACTGATTGCAGCAATAATTAGTGTTGCTGTAAACAAAGTGAGATAAATATGATAGTAGATGTCATAGTGGATGTCTATATTAGAATAAAGATCATACAGTTGCTATATAATAAATAAAAAAATTATATGCTTTTTATGTAATCAGCATATATAAAAATAAAATACATTTTTAAAATAATTTGCAATTTATAAATTATTTGAGATAATATTTTGTTTTTTACGGGTTAGATTATTTTTTTGTTATTTAAATTTTTATTAATAAAAAATTATGCGTCAGATAACAGCCAACATATCTCAGATTGTCTGAGGCACCTTATACAATGATTGTTATCTGAGGTGCGTCAGCTGTCATCTGACGCGAGCATCGATCTGAGGCACAACATATATATATAATTATAATTTCTAGCATACATCTTTAACTAAATACAAACTCATTGATTAAAAAACCAATTAATTTAAAACCTATCAATTCCAATATATTAAAATAGAATCTAGTACATCTAACCCAACACTCTAGATTAAAGCCTATTTGACCCAATCCACTAGTTCTGACCCAACTCAACACTAAATTAGAGTCTACTCAACTCAACCAACCCATTAGTTTAAAGCCTACCAACCTAATTTAACCTGCTAGTTTTAAGCCTATTATTAGTTTAAAGCCCAAACTAACTTGCTAGTTTAGAGCTACCTAATCTGCTAGTTTAAAACCACTTAACCCAACCCAATTTGCTAGTTTAGAGTTATCCAACCCAATTAGCTAGTTTAGAGCTACACAACCAACCTGTTAGTTTAGAGTTTATATATTAGATATTAAATATTATGTGGTATGAGACAAATAAATATAAGATGTAGGATTTTAAATTGTAATTTAAATTACAATAAGACTAAATGAATTTTAAATTAATTTTGTCTTTATTAAGTAAATTGTTTTAAAATTTAAATTGCTTTAAGATTTATTTATAGTACAATATATTGAAAATTAATTATATAAATGATTATTAATCCTATCAAATAAACCAAAGATAAAATTTTATTGCAGTTTGCAAAATTGGATGACCTCTATAATTAATATTAAATAATTATAATTGCAATCGCAGATTTATGATAAATTGGATAGCTTTAACAATCATAATTGCAATTACAATTATTCAATCATAAAAAAAATTAATTATAAGAGTTATAAAATTATGCAAACTGCAATAATTAACCAGAATTGAATAAATTAACTAGGTAAGTTACCATTTCAATAAAACAGACTATTTTATAGTATCTAATTAAAACTTCTAATTAAAACTTAAATTTGTATTTTATACAATAAATTTTCAACAAGAATGTTCTAACTAATGCTTTAATGCTATACTACTATAAGAAAAGTATTTATATATCCTCAGAAATAATTATTTGGTTTGACATATAAAAAAAAATAATTATTGCATATTATATAATTTTGTGACCTCTATGATTAATTTTTTTATAATTAAGTAATAGTGATTGAGATCATGATTGATAAATTGATTGGCTTTAGCAATTGTGATCTCAATTACAATTATTTAATCATAAAAAATTAATAATAGAGATTACAAAATTATACAAACAGCAATAAGTTATAAAGAATACAATAATAATTTTCACATACCTAAAACAAGCCATTCAGATAGGTGTGTAATTGCAGAATGCATCTACTAATGCTTTCTTATTTTATCAAAGAAAACTACTGAATTTAGAGAAGTTAGTATAATATTTTCACAAAATGTATTTATTAATACTTATTTTCTTTGAATTAAAGATTATTTAGTATTTAAAATAAGCTGGCTTATCACAGCTTGCTGCGGCTTGAATGGCTTATTATGTGATAAATTCGAATTTGTCATGTGATATCCTCGAATTTATCACTTTTAATATGACAAATTTGAGAATATCACGTGACAAATTCGAATTTATCATGTGATAAGCCATTCAAGCCACAGAAAGCCATGATAAACCAGCTTATTTTGAATACTAATATTATTATTACTGATACAAATATTCAAAAAAAACAGTACAATATTCTTAAAAGTGCATTTGTCAATATGTTTTCTCCTTCTGATCTATAGTTAATTTAAAAAAAGTTAGAGTAGAGTTATTACTAAATGCATTCATCAATACTTTTATTCTTTCTGATGTGAGATTGTTAGTCAAAATTAATAAGGCATTTTGTATTAAAGATTATCCAACTTTCGATTAAAAATTATCACTATCCAAATATGAAAAAGTCAATATAATATTCTAACTTCTAACCCAAGATTATTATTATTTTGAAGTTTGTATACTGTTCTTAAAAATATAGCTGCTAATATATTTTCTTCTTCTGATCCAAGGTTATTGTTATGAAGATTCGAAAAAATCAGTGTAGTGACATTCTAACTTCTAACTCAAGATTATTACTTTGAAGTTTGTATGCTGTTCTTAAAAATATAGCTGCTAATATATTTCTTCTTTTAATCCAAGATTATTGTTATAAAAATTTGAAAAAATCAGTGTAGTGTTTATGCAAAATACTCTGTTAACTTTTTTCAAATAACTAAGCCTAAATTTTTAAATAAATAATAATAATAATAATAAACAATAAATAAAGAAATTTAAAAATTATTAGCTAAATTGAAATAAACGAAGATAATTGGGTTATATGTTAACTTTTTAAAATTAATTTTTTTTTTATAATTCAGCTGTCCTGCTACTTTTTATTAAGATTAAACTATACTAAGAAATTTACATTCCCTAATAATAGCTATAATAATTCATCTGTAAAGTGACGTACCCATGCTTTCACCAGGTATGACTTGTCGCAGTAGACTTCAAGCCTCTCTCTAGGGCCCCTAACTTACTAGAGATTATTCTTTGGTCATGGACTAGTGCCAAACACCATATCAAAGTTAGCTTTCCTTTTTACAAAATAAAATACAAACACAAATACAAAGAGCATAACAAAAATGGTGAATCCTTAAAAAATATCTCTTTTGTTAAATTGTTTGTTCATCCTTAAATAAATTTCGTTTGTAATCCATCTGCTA